TTCACATCAGTTAGGATGAAAGAGGCGCAACCCGCTGTCCGGAGTCGCCAGGCATGCGCTTGAAACTGTACACAAATTTACTTTGGACCGAACCCACATTGAAGGTTCGTGCGCATATATGAAAGACCGCAAATTTGTTGAGTACATTATCTGTAGCGAATCATACATCAATAGCCACGTCTATATGGAGTCAAGGTTCATAAATCTCAAAAAAGGCTTGAAACATTGCCAACCACCAAAAGACTCGCTATTGACCAAGGATGACAAATAATTCTGGGTTTTTCGGCATGTTTAAAAAAGTGCGCATTTCTCTTTAAACATTTCCCTTACGTTTAACGACGATCTGGTGTATCAGCGTCGAAACTTTACAAGCTAATTCATTCCCATTTCCCTAAGAACCATTTCTATCAAATTATCGATCTTTTACTGTAGCTCTAGCTGGCTGGGTTTATGCCAGAGACGGAAAGGTGCAGGACACACTGATAAGGCTTCGATCGAGGTTTTATCAAGAAGAATAGACGAAAATTTGCTTACGCACCAACTACGATCATCAGGTATCCTTGAACTTGGTGGGAATTCGTGTATAATGCGAAGGAGGGAATACGTCCTAGGTATTCGTTGTTATTCTACAATGAACTCCACACTCTTAACATCCTGTCTGCCTAACTTCCTAACACGCAACTGGGCGATATGACCAGGGTCGACGCTGGCATACACAAGGTTATAAGTCACACACGCATAAATCTCCAGTGATAGTGAATGCCTACAGGAGAAAGCTGATAGTGTTGGCCGACGTATTCAGCACCATCCGCGCTACTTTCTTTCACCGTGGGTCAAGAATACAAGATCAGATCTGGCGTAGGCCGCTTTCTTCATTGCAAACCAAAAGCGTCGCGTAACTTAGTCCCCTGTGCTCAGAAACCGTCCGGTTTGTCGGACAGACCGGTATTCGGCGGTTGGGTGGGGGTAAACCTCATTCATTAATATATTGAAATATTCGCATCCCACGATATTAATTGTGAGAATAAGAATTCCTTTGGGAAATTTTCAATTTTATTGCAAAAATTTTTTTTCGACACGTACCCATCGGTCGTCGTCAGACGTAGAAAAATTGTGCAAAGACCAACTAGCATGTTTAAACGTTGAGAAAATCAATATTCCTCGTACGTGTGCGCCGATTGGTAGGAGCTTTGGTCCGTGCTCGTAGATGTCATGCGCTTTCCGTATTTTGGCTGCCATCTGTGATTTGGTGCTGCGTATTCAGTTTAACTTTGAGGTAACCGTAGCTAGCGTCCAAATCAATATACCTGTTGATGCATGCCTCGTCTGAGTGCATTGCTTCTAGGAATTCACGGCACATTTGTCACATTTGTCATCATCAGGAAAAATGATTTAGACCTCATCCACAAGAAGCTCAATTCCACATTCCCGGGAATTGAATTCACATTCGAAACGGAGGTCGACGGACATCTTCCATTTCTAGATGTCCTTTTACATCGAACTACTTATGGATCACTCCGCACATCTGTCTACCGTAAAGAAACATATTCGGAAGTCATCGTACACTTTGAGAGCAACCACTCCATCCCTCACGAAAGAAGCTCCGTCTACA